TTTGGGTAGTTTTTGCAAGCAGATTCCTTTGATGTTTTTGGTATTATTATCATCAATATCGTTATCTATTCATATTAATGCCATTATTTCTATCATTATTATTATATATATATATATATATATATATATATATACTATATATATATATATATATATATATATATGTATGTATGTATATGTATGTGTATATATATATATATAGTGTGTGTGTGTGTGTGTGTGTGTGTGTGTGTGTGTGTGTGTGTTGTGTGTGTGATAATATATATATATATATATATATATATATATATATGTGTGTGTGTGTGTGTGTGTGTGTGTGTGTGTGTGTGTGTATATAATATATATATATATATATATATATATATATATATTATATATATATATATATATATATATATATATATTATATATATATATATATATACGTGGTGTATATTGTTATATCCGTTAGTAGCATAAATTTACAGACAAACTTTTTTTACGCTTTCCTTTACCCTTTGTTATTGTTACCATTACCTTGTTTGTATTTTTTGATATTGTTATATCTCAGTAGCTTCAATTTTATCATTGTTATTGGTATCCTTATTCTGCTTCAACTTTGGTCGTTATTAATGATATCTTAATAGCTTTGTTTTTATTATTGTCATTATCATCAATTTCATCTGTCTTTTCTTTCCCAAGCTTTGTCACTGTTATCCCAGTGACTTTATAAATTTTCTCGTTCTTATGTTTTTGTAATCTTTATCATTGTTATTAATGAGCTGTTTTTTTTCTGTTATCGTGTTGTATTAACTCTTATCACTGTTATCCACGTCATCCATTACATGATATCAACGTCTCAAGGTTTTATCCAAGGCAGGTTTTATGTCATGTGATTATATTATAACTGCATATGATAATTAGTGCCAATGTGTTCAGCTGTCAAGATTTCTGATTATTTCGTTTTGTTGTTGTTGTTGTTGTTTGTTTCTAATTAATACGGTAAACAATATCTTGTGTTTATTTACATCTCTGGGATCTAAATTTGTTGTAAATATTTTTTTCGAGACTGTATTGTGATTGTATATAAAAGGATAACATTTCATCTGCTTGTAATATAGGGTTAGGTATGAACACCATGTATTTTTTCTTTTTTATTAAAGATTACACGGAAAACCGATAGTATATCAGTTCATAAATCTATACTAATACGTTTATACAGTAATCAGAGCACATTTGCGGTGGTAACGTGCACGTCTGGAGAAAACGGATCAAATGAAAAGATCGGTATGTACAAATAAATTTCCTTGCATATCCATATAGTTTATAAATATGGTAATACTTCCATGCGTGAAATAGATAGATTTTGGATTAGAATTATGGCAGTTTGAGAAATAGAGAAGGGAGGCCCGTGTGCATCGGGGGCGGACGGAGTCAGGGCTCGAGGGCCGTGGGGGCGTGGCGCAGGGCGGGCCTCACAAGGGCGCGTCCGTCCCCCATCCTGCGCGGGCGGTCCGATCACCCCTGGCGAGGGCGTCCGGCGGGGCCGCGGATGATCACGGGCTGGCCAATGTCGCCGACGGGGGCGCCCTGCAGGTCGTAGTCGTAGTAGTCGGGGGCGTCGGGGTCGCAGGGGTTGCCCGACGTGTAGGGGAAGGACAGCTGCTCGCCCGTCTCCTGGTCGATGTAGCCGTAGACGCCGTTGACCACGCAGTCCAGGCCGCGGGTCTCGTTCTTGAAGGAGCCGTCGGTGTTGATGTAGCCCCACGAGAAGGTGCCGTCGGCGTTCTGGTGCGACCACGACCTCAGGATCTTGACCTCGGGCTCCTTGCGGCCGCGGGGCGTGTCGTCGGGCTGGAGGCTGAAGTCCCGGTCGATGCTAGCGAGGGGGATGTTCTGGCGGCGGGGCGGCGGAGGGCGGCTGGGGGCGGGCTGGGGCTCCGGGGCGGCGGGGCGGGGGCGGGGAGCGGCCTGAACACGGGGGCCGACGTGGGGGGAGGGGGAGGGGGGCGCTGGCGACCACAGGGTTGGGCAGGAGGGCGATGTTCTGGTCGAAGTCATCCACGTACACGTAGTCGTAGTCTGGAGCGGCGGTGGTTGGGGGCGGGGGAGGGGGTGGGCGGGGGCGGCGGGGCGCCCCTGCGAGGAGCACCGCTCGGGCGCCCGATCCTTATGGGCCCATCGCCGAGGGGGGCGGTGGAGGCGCGCGGGCGGCCGCGGATGCCCCGGCGAGGGTTCTGCTGGCTGATGACGACGCCGATCACGACGGCGAGCACTAACTGTGGACGAAGGAGAGAACACGTTAGAGAACACGAAAGAGAGGGCAAGGGAACAGAAGGAAGGAAAAGGGACTCAACAACAGCCCTGTCCCGCCCTGGCTTACCAAGAGGGCGTAGGCGCCGATGAGGACCGCCGTCTGCACCCCCGCCATCCCGCGCCGCGCTTGTGCCGACTTCGCGCGTCGCGCAGGGGCGGGGGGAGAGGCGGAGGGAGGCTGGGCGCCGGGCTGGGCGCGAGGGCGGCGCTCGTCACCGGGGCGCAGCGCGCCGGCGCGAGCGTGAGGGCGTTCAGCACCGGCGTCTGGACCTTGGAGAGTGCGGCGCGCGACACGGGCGTCTCCACCACTACCACGGGCGGGAGGTCGACCGTCCTGATGTGCGGCGGCAGCGGCGGCGGCGGCGGGATCCTGCCGTTGCTCTGCGTCTCCTTGGGCGCGCCCCTGGCATCCCGCCGCTGGATCTTCCCGTAGAGGAAGGACACGTTCTTCTTGAAGTCGCGGGCGAAGTCATGGCCGCGAGACGAGATGGAGTCCTGCGGCTTGCCGATCTGGGACGACCTGAGGGGATGCGTGCGCTTCAGGTCCTCCGACGGGATGGGGGCGTGGATGTGGCAGTGGTGGCAGGACGAGGCATCTTGAAGCGGCATCCCCGCCTCCCGCGCTGTCTCTGGCCGGCGCTGAAGAAGGCGTGGAGGGAGGCTCTCACATCCCACGCAACCACCTCTTGGCACCAGCGAATCCCGGGGCGCTACTGACGGCGGCTGACGACTCGAGCTGACGTCCGCCTCGGCTACTCCATCGCCTTGGGACTCCTCTCCCGATTGGAAAACATTTCCGCGGCTTTCATAGTTACACAATCATCCGTGAATCCGAGGTCACGGTGAGGTCATTCCATCCTCCGCGAAGGTCAGTATATCCTCAAGACGTTATCCTTGGTCACAGTATCAGCGGGAACGATTCTCTCAACACACGTTCATTCTCTATTCTTTTTCGCATTTAGGAAGAGTCATCGTAGCTTTACGGACACCTAAACACAAACACACCATTTCGTTACAAAAGAAAGAACTCACGAAACCTTAAAGAAACAGCGAATCACTCGCACTTCGATACGTCACCGAGCGCCGACCGCAGCGCCGCGCTTTCAGTAGGAATGCGGAACAGAGAGCCCCGACCCAGCTGCGGCGCCGGTCGAGATCTCGCAGCCGAACACTTAACACAAATCACACTAAACACGTCGTCCTTCAGATCCCCCGGAGGTGATTCGACGTCTTAAGATACACAATGGTTCCTCGCACAGTTCACCGGAGACAAATTACTGCTTTAAAAAACACACTCAAGCTGCTATTGGCATGAACAGTGACGGGGCAGGCGACGGGCCAAGCACCAGAAGCAGCTTCAGCAACAACTGCTTTCACTCACAGCTTGCATCACCACGCAGGTACTACCCCCCCCCCTCCCCGCACTCTCCCCCATGCCCTCACACGGGAAAATCGAATTTTAATGCCCATTTATGCCTCGGTGTAATACAGAACACCGTGTGAACATCCACCTCCAGCTATAACGGGAAAAAGATTTGCATCGTCTGAACAAACCCAAGCGTGAGTGGAATAAATTTTCCCATGAAAAGCACGAAGCCCTCGGATAAATGCTGCAAGAAGGTGCATGTGACACCCACGCCCACGTCAACACCCACCCACCCACCCTAACCCCCCCCCCCAGCCCCCTAGATACAACAACCCGCCCCATCACTTGCCGTCTAAGTGTACGCTCGCGTGCCTGTGTCTCTGTGTACCTGCCTGTCTCACGTCCCGACAGCCGGTAAACAAAACGAAAATAAACAAAGAAGAGAGAAGAAACAAGGCATTAATAAAGACGGGAAAGACGGAGAGAAGAGAAACACGGAGAGCACGGTGGAGATTGCGACACAAGGATGTCTCGGTGTGTTAAGATTAAGCGTTCTATATAACGGTCACGAAATGAAAGTTAATCATGTGAGAGAAAATGTTTAAGCTCGTGGTATCTGTAATACGACAAGAATGATTACCAGCGAAGAATCGTGACGCTTTTGATAGATCATAACCTATCAATATTTAATGGAAATAACGCTTTGTTTCCCTCTAAAAGTAATAATAACAACCCGAAAATATCATATTCTAATCACCTTTTCTCTCAGTCTTTTTCAAAATAAGAAATACATCGTACAGACGCCATAAACGTATATCAAGTTATTCTCGAAACACAGGTGCTCCCTCATGCACTGTTTGCGCAGGCAGTTGGCAGTTGTATTTGCACGTCTGTCTCTGCTTAATCAGCTGACTAGCGTGTTTACCTATTCAAAGCAGGCGTGCCACTCGTTCTCAGCTAAAAAAAAAAAAAAAAAAAAAAAAAAAAAAAAAAAAAAAAAAAAAAACGTTCTGAACAAACGTCAGTGAACTTGTTATCTCTAATAAGTTTGTTAAGCCAGTTTCAGTCTGAGATTGTTGAGTTCAGATGCTGGTGATTTGGTGGCGGGGTGCACGCTAGGCTAATTATGAATTTAAATACGGTGTGAGAAAAGGAAGGCTTATTTTGATTTCAGGTTTTGGAAGGAGAGACAGGAAGGGGGGTGGTCGAGAGAGAGAGAGAGGGGAAGAGAGGGAAAAGAGAGAGGGGGGAGGGGAAGAGCGGAGAGGGGGAGGGAAAGAGACAGAGAGATAGACAGATGGTTAGATAGATGAAGAGACAGACAGACACAGACCACCGACACACCGAAGGAATAGAAGGAAAGACCTTTAAAAAGAGTTGAGGGGGATAACAGAGTCAAAAAAAAAGAAAAGGAGAGAACAAATACAGGAATAACTGAAAGCAACGCCCCCTTCCCCTCCCTTCGCCCTCCCAACCTTTCCTCACCCCCCATCCCTTCAATCTCCCCCTCCCCCCCCTCCTCTTCCATTCACCTATCATCCTCTCTCTCTCTCTCTCTCTCTCTCTCTCTCTCTCTCTCCTTCTCTCTCTCTTCTCTCCTCTCTCTCTTCTCTCTCCTCTCTCTCTCTCTCCTCTTCATCCTTTCTCCATCCACTTCTAACGTAATTCAAGAGTTTCCTTTATACAATCCCCTTCGAGTTGCGACCAAACCTGTCCGAGAGGCCGTTCCAGTCGCTTTGAAAAGGTGTCTGAATGCATTTATGAGTGCCAGGTTATCCAGATCGAGTTCTCTTTGACAGGAGGATCAGTGGGCGGTTTCAGCGAGTCGATAGCGTGGGTGGAGGTTGTGGGTGGATAGGGGGGGAGGGGTAGGAGGGGGAACCGGCAGAATTTGGAATAAAAGGGTTGAATAAGAAAAAAATAATTTAAAAAAATTGTAACATTATCCAAACAATCGTAGTGAAACCCTTTTTTTTTTCTTTTACCTTAAATTCTCGGAGCGTGTTCTTATATGCCTTGGAGGAGGGGGGGGGAGGGGATGAGGAGGGCAAAGGGGAGGTGAGGGATTGAAGAATTGGGGAGTGAGGGAAGCTGAGGCAAAGAGGCAAGAGGAGAGGGAGATTAAGGGGTTGGCACAGAAACGAAAGAGGGAATTAGATGAAGGACTAGAGAGTGAGAGGTTTGAGTCTATAGGATAAAGGGGTGACAGAGACTGAGGTTGAAGGGTTGAGAATAATGGGGTAGAAAGTGAAGGAGGCTGAAGGATAAGGGATTAAAAAAAGAGTTAAATGAAATCGAGGTCGAGAGGTTGGGGTAAAGGGACTGGAAGTGAGGGAGGCAGAAGCATACAGAAAGGAGATGTAGAAGACGAGGTTGAGAATTTGTGATAAAGAAGTGGGAAAAGGGAGGTGTAGAAGTGGGAAAAGGAAGTGTAGAAGACCGAGGTTGAGAATTTGGGATAAAGAAGTGGGAAGAAGGAAGCGTAGAAGATCGAGGTTGAGAATTTCGGATAAAGAAGTGGGAAATAAAGGAAACTATACCTACACAGAGGTAAAAGAGGTTGAGGGGTTGGGATAAAAGAAGTGGGAAGAAGGAAGTGTAGAAGATCGAGGTTGAGAATTTGTGATAAAGAAGTGGGAAAATACAAGAAACTATACTACACAGAGGGAAATGAGGTTGAGAATTTGTGATAAAGAAGTGAGAAAAGGAAAATGTAGAAGACACATTGAGAATTTGGGATAAAGAAGTGGAAGAAGGAAGCGTAGAAGAGGTAGAAGCGTAGGAAATGTAGAAGATCGAGGTTGAGGAGAATTTCGGATAAAGAAGTGGGGAAATAAAGGAAACTATACCCACACACAGGTAAAAGAAGTTGAGAATTTGTGATAAAGAAGTGGGAAAATACAAGAAACTACATCTAACAGAGGTAAAAGAGGTGGCGAGGTTGGGGGTAAAAGGGTCCGAGGTGGCTTGGTGCTGCAGCGACCTGACCCAATTCTGACCCAAATGCTAGTCGTTCGTTGTATCGCATTTGCATCTCCCTTCACATCGTTCGGTCGCTTTTCCCTTGACATTCTTTCCTTCTTCTTTCTCTCTCGGAAGAAGAAGAAGAAAAAAAAATGTCTCTCTTTAAGAAAAAACAGGTTCTGATTAGATCCTGAGTAAGTGCTCTGGTGATTAAAAAGATTAGGAAAGATGACGGGCGGTTTTATTTTTTGGGGGAAATGGGTCTTTTTATATATTTTTTGTGTCTTTTATTACATTCCTTGTACTGCATCTTGTCTTCCTCTCCTTCACCTTCGTATGCCCTCCCTTCCCTTCCCTCCCCCTACCCTGTCCATCCCTTCCCTCCCCCCCCCCTGTCGCTTCTAACTACCTATACGACCTTCTTCTTCTTCTTCTCCTCCGTCTTCTTCTTCGTCTTCTTCTTTTTCTTTCTTCTTCTTCTTCTTCTTCTTTCTTCTCCTCCTCCTCCTCCTCCTCCCCCTCCTCCTCCTCTCCTCCTCCTCCCCCTCCTCTCCCCTCTCCTCCTCCTCCTCTCCCCCCTCCCCCTCTCCCCTCTTCCTCCAAGAACATGATCTAACCCCCCTCCCCCCCACCCCCCCTCCCATCCCCAATGCCCTTTTCCTCCAGTGCACAAACAACTTAAGAATACAGTAGGCTTTGGCACACTCCATTACCTACTACTGTCTCCATATGTTTGGTACTTTTATCATTATGCTTCGAACGATTCTTTTCTAAAATCTATATCGTGTTTTTTTATGAGTAAGAGCACATATTTTATAGTTTTTTTCTTATCATTATATACCTTTAAGTTCATGTTATTACTCGAAGAAGAAAGG